CCCGCCAACCTCGCCTGCCGCAGACGAGTACGGCTCGATTCTCCATGACGAGGCCGGCTCGTACTTTGCGCCCACCATCTCGACTCCGCCGCAAGACGCAACGACCTCAAAGCGCCGACGTGGGAAGAAACGTGGCGTCAAGGTTATCCGCTTCAGCGCGTCTGGCACAGGCGCTGTGGCTACAGGCGCGACCGGGGCGGGTGCGGCCGGCTGCACAGCCGCAGCGGGCACTGACCGCAGCGACGCGTCGGGCTTTAGCTTTACCAAGCTGCCGCTGCCTAGGCCTGGCGAGGCAAGTGATGGCGTGCCGAGTGTGGTGGTCAACGGAGTGCGGGCCGAGGCACGGGCGGAGAAGCGCAAGTCAGCGCTGAGCGGGATCATGGCGGTAGAAGAGGCACGGCGCCGGCGGACGGCACATCTTGCAGGCAAAGCATCCGCGCTGCGAGTTTTTGTCTCGTTTGCACCGACCAAGGCCGCACCAGTTCCGCTCTCTATTCCACAGTCGTCGACGATCGAGGCCATCGTGACGGCCACCATCGAGGCGTTCAACGCCGATCCGAGCAGAGACACCAAGCTCGAGCCCGACGCGCGATTCTACCAACTGCGGCTGACCGACGACGACGCGGGAACCCCCGACACCGATCTCCCGCCGCTGGAGAGGACTCAAATGCTGCGCAACATCGGGTGTACCGATTTTGCTCTGGTGGTGAATCCGAAGGCACCGGCGGCGCGGTTGGCGAGTGGCGGCGGAACCAGCAAGCGGCGGTCGGTTGTCTTTGCAGCGGCGGATCAGGTCAAGGATGGTGAAATCTGCCTCCGCATCGAGTTACCGGACAAGACAACTTCTGCGGTCATTGTGCCGGAGGAGTTGACGGTCGGCCAGTTTATCACCACGGTCTGCCGCAAACGGTCGCTCGGCTCCGACTTCGTCGATGCGTACATTCCAGGCATTTCTGTGGCGCTCAACAAGGGCCTCGTACTCCGCGACCTCGGGGCAACAGAGATCTCGCTGGAGGCGTCAACGCCGACGTCGCTGGCGGCGGCGCGGCGCAACTCGGTGGCAGCTGCGGCGTCGACGGACACCGGCGACTTTAACCACATGTTCAACCAGTTTACCGCCATCATCTACAAGGAGTATGAGGTGACCAAAATCAACAAGGCTGGCAAGCGGCAGCCGCGGGTCCTCGGCATCGACGACAAGCGTATCACTAACAAGATCCCCGAGTCGGAGAAAAAGTCGGGCCTCATGTCACGGTTCGCCAAGAAGAACCCCAAGCGCCCCTTCCGCAACGTCGACGAGATCATCAACATTGAGCACTCGGAACACCTCGCCGACGGCAAGGCCTTTTCTATCTACTTTCGCGGTGATGAGCACACCGACTACGAAGCCATCAGCAGGTCGCAGGCGTCGGAAATTGTGGCCAAGATCACGTACCTCATGGGTATGGCCGAGTCGTCTGAGCGGTAGCATGCTGTTTAACCCTTTACTGTACGGAATGGACAAACTTGTCCATCGCGCAAGCCGCGCTCCGCGACGCTCCACAGACGTCCATCAATCGCGGTAAAGAGTAATACAATGGGCTAATGGCTGCCACAACAAAAAACAGTCGGCGATGCAGAGATGGACGCCGCACGCGCAGGCCAAGCAGGCGTCGGTCGGTGGCCTGGAAGTCAAGCATCATCGAGTTGTTCACTTTAAGACGCGCGACAACGCGTCCGAACGACCGAACCGTAAAGGGTTAACACTGTGCATTGTCCGCACCCCCGCGCCCCAGCGGCGCTCGCGACGGTCAGCTCGCGCTCTTCTTTGGGCGGCCGCGGCGCCTTGCCGGGGGCGTGATGTGGGTCCACTGCTCGTCGGTGAGGATGTGGTAGAGCTCAGCGTGGGAGCGCTTGATGGTGTCGAGGGTGACGCCGTCGGAGCCGAGCCAGGCCTCGCCCGTGAGCTTGAAGCGGACGAGCTTGCGGGCAATGTCGTCGTGCTGCGGGCATTTGAGCGAGTTGGAGCACATTTTGCGGGTCGACATGTTGACGACGCCACAGACCTTTGTGAGAACCTCGATGACGGCGCTCGGCGCTAGGTTCCACAGGTAAGTGCTGGAGTCGATGGCAGCCATGGCCGGAACTTTGAACAAGTCGGCAACTTCGACGATCTTGGGATCAGTCTTGGCGCGGGCGCTGACGATCCCGTTGTAGCGGTGCATAAAGCCACCAAAGGTGAGCTCGTTTTCGAGCTGACTCAGCTCGAGGCCGCCGAGGGCGTCGCGATTCATACCGGCCAGGCTCTCATGAAGAGTGTAACTCTTGGCCGAGGCGGCGGCGGCGGCGGCAGCAGCAGCGGCGCGGGCAACGCGCTTCCGCTCGTCACTTGCGCGCTTCTTCTCGCTTGCGCGCTTCTTCTCATTTGCGCGTTTCCGCTCTTCCAGCTCCTGCCTGCGCCGTTCAGTGGCAGCCTCAGCGGCGGCCTTGGCGGCGGCCTTTTCCATCGCGGCGGCCTCTGCGGCGTCGGCCTCTGCGGCGGCAAGGGCGGCGGCCTGCGAGGTGGTGCGAATGAACTCCTCCATCTTGTTCCAGTCGACGTTAGGGTCGGTGGCGATGCGGTGGAGGTCTGCTTCGGACTGCATGGTCGAAAGATCAAAGCCCTTGTAGGGGACGGCAAAGGGAATGGGCGAGCGAGTGCCCGAGGCGAGCGCGTCTGCGGCCGAGGCGGCAGACCGGCGCGGAACGGCACGGGCTGTCCGGCCCATGCCGAGACACGAGGCCAGATGCGCGGCAAAGCGCGAGACAGCCACCGATCGCGAGCAGAGCTCGCACGGCACGTATTGGGTCGACGACGGCAGCGGCTGCGAGGCCGACGGCGGAAGCTTCTGGGTGGCAGCGGCGGCTCCGTCGGCCGAGCCGCCGGCAGCCGAGCCACCATCACCACCGGCGGCGTAGCTCAGAGACGAGGCCGACGACAGCTGGGTTAGGTCACGGCCAAAGACGTCGACGCCTGGGAAGGAGACCAGCTCGCGGGTGCAGTACGGCTCGCAGACAAGGCAGACCTCGCCGCGGGCAGCCGAGCGGTGCATCTCCAGGGCGACCTCGACCATCATGTGCTCGACTAGCTCGTCGAGGGTCTCCACCGCCGCCCGCGCCCGTGATAGCGGCGCTCCGCTCGCCTCCTGCTCCGCCACCGCCGCGTACACCTGCCCCACTCTGGCGGCGAGGTCGGCCTGCTGCGGCCGGGCTCCCCCGGTGCCGGGCCCGACCCCGCCACCGCCCCCACCACGCGCCACGCCGTCTTGCCCGAGCTGGCCGTCTTGCCCCTGCATCCACGTCACGCCCGCGTGTGTCCGTCTGCGGTGTGCCGAGTGCGGTGGCGGGGGGTATGAGTGTGAGTGCGGGGGAAGACGGGGAGGCGACTCGCCGGGTAAGGGGAATGTCTCCGAGTCGGGAGCGGGCGCGGGTGGACAGGGGGGGCTATGTTACTGACAGCTGGACGGCAGCTTGGAGGCCACCGATGGCGAGGCCGAGGAAGGCGCCGACAAGGATGAGGATTATTTCGTCCTCTTCAAAGATGGGATGGAGCATGCGCTCAAAGGCGGCGGGCGGGAGGCCGCGAAGAGCTGTGGCGAGGCGCGGCTCGATGGCCATGGCGTCGGCGGTGTAGCTCTCGGCGTCGGCGAGGAGGACCGGGAGGCGGAGGAAGAGGCGATGGGCGACTTGGCGCTTGAGGCGGGCATAGGTGCTGGTGCCGAGGTAGAGGAGGGTGAGCGGGAGCGAGGCGCCCACCCACTCGTCGACGGCAGTGTCGAGCTTGGAGCGGATGAGCTGGTGGAGGGCGGGCGAGCGTGGGCCGGAGCTGAGCTCGTTGAAGACGTGGTGCGGAGTGATGAGGCGGTTGGCGACGAGGGCGGCGTAGAGGTCCGAGACCTCGTCCTGGCGCTTGAGGAAGAGGCCCTGCAGGACGATGCGGCCGCCGCAGATGGGGCGCGGCTCGACCGGGCGAAAGATGGCCTTGAGCGCAATGTAGTTTGTGGCGTAGCCGACGATAAAGCCGGCGAGCGGCAGGGTCCACCACTGGCGGACAAAGATCCAGACGACCATCTGGAAGAGGCCAAAGAGGAAGCCGAGGACAAAGCCCGAGCGGCGGATAAAGTCAAACTCGTCGGCGCCGATCTCCATGAACAGCTCGTTGAGCAGCGACTTGTTGGAGGTGAGGAGGGCGACGACCATGGACTCGAGGTCGATATAGTGTTCGACCGAGGCTGTGACAGCGTCCATGGTCGACGCCATGATGGCTGCGGCCTCGGCGTAGACAAGGCCGTTGATCTCGATCTTGACCTCGGGCGAGGTGAGGTACCACAGGGTCGGGGCGTGCTTCTCGGCGACTCTGTTGACAACGATCTCAACCTCGTCGCGGAGCTTGGCCTCGACAGCGGCGGTGACGCGGGTAGCATCGACATTGCGCAGCAGCTCGTCGACCGGGAGCAGGTCCTCGGTGATGAGGCGGATGGCCTTGGACGACATCTTGGCGGCTCTCCGCGGGATGATGCCCTGCCAGCCGAGCCACGGCTCCCACCATCCGACAAACTCGAGCGGGTAGAAGGTCATGTGTAGGGCGATGACGTTGGTGAGCCAGCCGAGGCCACCGGCCACAAAGGGGATGGCTGCGATGAGGACGACCTCGAGCGGGGCGGAGGACATGGGCGGGGTGGGTGGGTGGGGGTATGGGGGTATGGGAGAGGGGGGGTGTGGGGGAGGGGTGTGGGGTGTGGGGTGGGAGGAGTGCTGCGTGTGGTTGTGGTTGTGGTTGTTGTGTGCGGTGGTGGTGGCGGTGGTGGCGTGGCGTGTGTGGTGGCCGTGTGTGGTGGCTGCGCGCGGTTTGTGGCAGGACGGCTTTGCTTGGCTTTGGGGACTCCAGGAGGGGAAGTTGCTCATGTTGGGCGGGTGTATGATCGGAGGCTAGGCGTGGGCGGGCGTCTCGGTCTCGGTGTAGGTGTGAGAGGCCGGCGTGTGGCGTCGACAATCGACAGGCAGCATAATGATCTACGACTCACCGTTGATGGCAACGAGCTCGACGGTAAAGATGAGGGTGGCGCCGCCGGGGATCTTGGGCGGCGAGCCAGACTCGCCATAGCCGAGATGGGCCGGGATCTTGAGGCGGCGCTTCTCGCCGACGCACATGTTGTGGAGGCCGCGGTCCCAGCCCTGGATGACCATGCCCTGCCCGAGGGTAAACTCAAACGGGGTGCCGCGGTCGAGCGACGAGTCGAACTTGGTCCCGTCCTCCAGCGTGCCGGTGTAGTGCATAGAGAGCTTGTCGCCGTTCTTCGACTTGATCGGGCAAGTCTCGGGCCTGTCGGTCCCATGGCGGTGAGGTAGAGTGTGTCTGTGAGTGGGCGTGGGTGTGGCGTGTTGCTGACCTCAGTGCACTCGCTTGCCGCTTGCTGGTGCGTACCGGTGGGTCACGCCAATGCGCAGCTGCGGGAGCTTGTCCTCGGCAGCCGCAAGGGCGGCAAGGCAAAAGAGGGCCACGGCGACAGCCGCAACGACAGTCCAAGTGGTGGTCTTCATGGTGTGGTTGGGAGAAGTGTGGCGTGTGGGGGGTGGTTGTCGCCTGACGGGCAGCGGGCGGCGGGCGAGGTGCGACGGCTCGGTTCTTTGATGCTAGCCTGGTCCCGCGGGGTCTTGGTCCCTGTGATACAGCCGGCAGTGCTCTGGAACGGATCCAGTGAAATGTGAAATGTGGCGGAAGTGATGGGGGGAGGGGTCAGGGGGAGATGGGCATTGTGGCGGTCATGTCCACAGGCCGGCCGGCTTGTTGGACTCGGTCTGCCGGCCAGGCAACGGCGGCAGGGTCGACGGACGGTGCTGTGGGTCGTGCTGCAAAGAAGGGTCCTGCGGCAGGGGTGTGCCGGTCTCGGCGTCGCCACCGCTTGCAGGCGCGATCTTGGCGGCGGCCTTGTTCTTGCGGTGGTGGCGGAAGAGGAGGGCGGCGCAGATGCAGGCGCCGAGGAGGAGCGACCAGGTAACGTAGAACTTGTACGACGACGGGTTGAACGGCTGCGAGGCGTCGGCAATGCGCTGGCGGATGGAGCGAGCCTCCTCCGGCGAGGAGCATGTGAGGCCGACGGTGTTTGCCGGGCAGAGGCACTTGTTCGGCGCGATGCAGGCGCCGCCATTGAGGCACCTCGGCGAGCAGACTGGGGTGCAGACGTGGCTTTCTGTCGAGTCTGCAGTCTTGTTGTACCCGTCCATACAGGAGCAGGTATTAGGGGCGGTGCATGTGGCGTTGGCGCATGCAGGGCTGCAGACTGGGGTGCAGACCGACGGGGAGCCAGTCCAGAAGCCCAGCTCGTTGCAGCGGCGGGTCTGCGATCCCGAGCGGGTGTATCCGGTCGAGCATGAGAAGAAGCACGAAGAGTTGAACATGGTTGATGCTGCTGGAGTGCACGCCATCAGGCCGCCTGGCACAGCAGGGACCAGCGGGCCGCAATCGATGTCTATCAGCTTAGTGCCACAGTCGGCCATGCCGTAGCCCGCATCACACACACAGTTGTTGCTCACGCACGACGCATTGACCTTGCACTCGGGCGTGTTTGACGCTGTGCAATAGTTGCCTCCTTGCCCTGTCATCAGCATCCCCCTCTTATGTCGGTAAGTCCTCCCTGCCCTTCCTCGGACACCTCGTGTCCCTTCCCCCCACCCCCCTTCCCGCCACCCCTGGACCCAGCCACACACACACCCACCGACAGGCGATCACCGAGGTGGACAGAGGCGGTACGAACGCATACTACGCCATCTCCCGCACGCACATACCCAGACTGAGTGGTACAAGAGCTAGGACAAGAGCCGCTCCCAATATGGCCACCCACAGGCATGTATTGAGAGCCATGGGTGCCGAGTCCTGTCTTGCTCATCCTTGCAAACGGGTGAATGGCTGGCAGGCAGTGGCACGAAGGGTGGAGGGTGGGGGGGGGGGGGGGTAGAGGCAACACCTGTGCGGCATGATGGTGGGCAGGTGAATGGATGATGTGCAGGTGGATGATGGCCATTCATCATCATCATCATGGTGCTGATGTGGGCGATCCGTCTGCCTGTCATCATCATCGTCATCTTCATGGTGCTGATGTGGGCGATCCGACTGCCCGTCATCATCATCGTCATCTTCATGGTGCTGATGTGGGCGATCCGACTGCCCGTCATCATCATCGTCATCTTCATGGTGCTGATGTGGGCGATCCGACTGCCCGTCATCATCATCGTCATCTTCATGGTGCTGATGTGGGCGATCCGACTGCCCGTCATCATCATCGTTATCTTCATGGTGCTGATGTGGGCGATCCGACTGCCCGTCATCATCATCGTCATCTTCATGGTGCTGATGTGGGCGATCCGTCTGCCCGTCATCATCATCGTCATCTTCATGGTGCTGATGTGGGCGATCCGACTGCCCGTCATCATCATCGTCATCTTCATGGTGCTGATGTGGGCGATCCGACTGCCCGTCATCATCATCGTTATCTTCATGGTGCTGATGTGGGCGATCCGACTGCCCGTCATCATCATCGTCATCTTCATGGTGCTGATGTGGGGGAGCTGGTCATGATGGTGTCTAGCCGCATGGGCATGATATCCCGGTATCATTCCTAGGTGGCTCGAGCCAATGAGTGCAGACCAATGCGTTTGGGTGGACGCTGTCGGAGCCACTACTCGTCCCGACACCATGGAACAGGCGTCCAAAGGGCTCGGCGGGCCGTTGTACAGCCCGCAGATACAGCAGTTGCAGCGCGGGAGCAAGAGACGAGGATCGCGGACGTTGCCGTTGCCGCCGGTGCTGGTGGGCGGGCCCGAGGTGGTGTTCAAGGTCCGCGCCCTCGACGGCCGCTCCTGGGTCATGGTGGCCCAGCACGCCGAGGACCTCTCCTTTGCCGCTCTCATGTCCGCCGTCTATGCCGCAGACCACAGCTCAGCCTATGCCCGCAGAAAGTATCTGTTCTGGCTCGACGGCGACGGCGACGTTATCCGCATCGCGTCGTCAGACCACCTAGTCGCCGCCGTCGCTGACGCCCTCCGTGCTCGCATTGCCGCAGCCCGCGCCGCCATCGTCAGCCTCCAAGCCAGGGAGCTGGCGAGGGCCAAGGCCAAGGGGAAAATCAAGGGCAAAGGCAAGGGCAAGGCCAAGTCCAAGGCAAAAGCCAAGGCCAAGGCCAAGGCCAAAGCCAAGGCCCTCGCTCGTCGTGACGGTATTGACCTGCATCAGCCGCTCAAGATCAAGCTCTATCTGCGCAAGTCGCACGTCCCGCCACCGGCGCCGGTACCTTCTGCCAAGGCCGAAAGTCACACACGCTCGCATCGGCGCAGTGACCACTTGCAGTCGCGCCCACAGAGCGATGGCCGCGAGAACTTGGTCGGCGCGCCGCAACTCCCTCACCCCGACCCGCAACACACAGGCTCGGCGCCGCAGCCCACCAGCACGCCAGTACCAGTGCCACCCCCATCAGCGCCCAGTGTGCCCATCGCAGCTGGTGGTCCGCCACCGCCACCGCCACCGCCACCGCCGCCGCCGCAGCCGTCTGGGTCAGCGGGAGGCGCGCCACCACCACCGCCACCACCGCCGCCTCCGCCGCCAGGCACCGGCTCGAGTTCTACCGGCCACACGGCAAGTAACCTCATGGATGCCATCAAAGCCGGCAAGCGACTCAAGACCGTGGACGAGTCGGCCAAGAAGGCCAAGGCCAAGTCGCCGCAGTCGGATCTTCTGGCGTCGATCCAGGGGCTCGACAAGAACTCGGTCCTGCGCAAGGTCTCGCCCGAGGAGATCGCAGCCAAGCCAAAGCGCGAGCTGACCGGGCGCGAGCTGATGATGGCCAAGATCCGCGCAGGCGCCAAGGAGCAGCTTCGCGAGGTGACGGAGGAGGACAAGAAGAAGCCGCCGCCCAAGCTCGAGGGCCGCGACCTGATGATGGCCATCATCCGCGACAAGCCCGAGCTGAAGAAACTCGACCGCGCCTCCATTCCGCCACCCAAGAAGGAGGTCACCCCACGTGACGAGCTGCTCCAGTCGCTAGCCGCCGCCAAGAAGCTTCGCAAGGTCAAGCCGAAGGAGACACCCACGCTTCTCGGCATCACGCCCGACCTTATGGGCGGGCGCGGCTTCTTTGGCGTTCGCAAGATGGATCTCGTCGATGGCCCGCTGCCGCCCTTGGAGGCGCCGGCTCCTCCGCCTGCGGCAGCTGGGCCAGCTCCCACGCCCGACACCGACAGCAAGGCCGAGATCAGCGGCGGAGGTGGCGACGCTGATGCCCCGCCCCCTCCTGCCTCCCCGCCTCCTGCAGCCGATCCTCCTCCGCCCCCCCCGGCCCCCCCGGCCCCCCCACCTCCCTCCCTCACTGTCACCACCGCCAGCGAATCTCCCGGCAATCCGGCCGAGTAAACGCCTTCCTTTCCTTGCTGTCGCCGGCCGCCGGGCCTGGCACCCGGTCACCGCCACCGCCCACCCGCAGGCTCACCCGTCGGCCCACACTCACCTCACTCGAGCTCGCCATGGCGGCAGCAACCATAGCGGCACTCGAGGCCGAGACGGCGGCACTCCGTGCGCGTGTGGCCGCGCGACGTCCGCTGGTGGCGCTATTGGCTGGCGAGGCGGACTCGGGCGACGGCGGGCTGGCGGCGGCGGCCGACATGGCCGGCGCGGCGGCGGCGCTGAGCGCGGCCGGAGCCCGGACGACAGATGTGGCACGCGGGATGGTGCGGCTGCGGCTGGATCGTGATGTAGCTGTGGCTGAGGCTGCTGAGGCCGGCGCACGTGCTGCTAGAATGGTGGCTGATGCTGCAGACGCCCGCGTGGCGGCGGACGACGCGGCCACGCGTTTTTGTGGCGGCGGCGGCGGCTGCGGGCGCACAGGCGGCGGACGACGCCGATGATGCTGCCAAGAGCCAGTATCTACGGGCCAAGGCTGGCGAGTATGCTGACGCCGTCGGTGAGATGGAGGCGCGGATAGAGGCGCTGGCCATTGACGGCCGCACGCATCCACAGCTGACGGCGCTGGCCGCCGAGCTCGCCGACGTCCGCAGCGAGCTTGAACCGCGGCTCAAGCGGCTGGAGGCCTACCGCGACCTCCCACCGGACTTGCATCTGGCGTCGGTGGCCCTCGTCCGCGCCCGCGAGCGGCTGGGCGTGCTGGAGGATGAGATCGGTGCCCTCATTGCCGGCATCCGGCCGTCGTTCGACGAGTAGCGCCCATATACGCTGGACGCGATGCATATTATTGAAGCTAAAGGTGCGTTGCGCACTATGCAGTGAACGGCGACTCGCGCAGCTCGGCGAGCTCGTCAGCGGCGATGGAGCGGAGCGAGAACCAGACCGCAAGAGCGACGATGATGCAGAGGACGAGGGTGATAAACAGGTTCCGGAGAGAGATGCCACCGATGGCGATAACCGAGGCTGGAAGGACGTAGACCTGCGGCAGCGCCGCGCCTTGCGCCGGACGCCCCTCAGTGGGGAGCGGGCGCTTGGCGTCGCGGGCCGGCGACGGTGGCGGCGGGGGCGGCAGCGGGTCCAGCCCTGCGGAACCACTCGAGCTTACCGAGCTAAATGCCTCGCCGTCGCCGACATCGCTCGAGTCATAGCTCGAGTCACCTGTGGAGGTCGCGAGCGGCGAGAGCTCCGGGAGCTCGGGCGCGACGACGGCGCCGATCTTCCAGCGGGCGGACTTGTCGGGCGACGCGCCCTTGCCGAGGCGCAGGGCAGCGAGGAGCAGCGGGCGGGCGAGGTCGTCACCGACAATGCGGTACTCAAAGAGGCGTGGATGCTGTGTGCGCGGAGTAGCGTCGGCGAGAGCGTCGAGGTCGATGACGAGGTCGACGGGCGGGCGCGAGGGGAGGGCGAGGACAAGCAGCGGGAGGTCGGGGGCGGACCTGGAGGAGAGGGTCAGGACCGAGGAGGGAGAGCTCTGGACAGAGTCTGCCGCATGAGGGACATCCTCCCCTGATGTGTGGCCAGCAGTAGCAGAGCCAGCAGTAGCGGCGGGGCTGGCGGACATGGCTGGTGGGTAGAGGGTGAGGATGGCGTGGGAGGCGTTGGCCATGGCCACGGCCAGCGGTGGAGGGGAAGGACCCGGAGGAGGTACCGCATGGGCGAGGCATAGGCAGAGGGCGACAAGCACCACAGCCACGGCGGTAGCTGTGCCCATCCCACAGCCTCGGCGAGTTGGGTGGGTACAGGACCGGATGGTGGGTGAGCGGGGAGGGGAGGAGGGGGAGGAGGGGGGGGGGAGAAGGGGGGGGATCGGAGAGAGGAAGAACGGAGGAGCAGGGGAGGGGGGGGGTTCGGGATCAGAGAGAGTGAGGGCAGATCGAGTGGGGGTTGGGGGGTTGGGGGTTGGGGGTTGGGGGTTGGGGTTGGGTTGTGGTAGAGCGGGAGGGAGGGAAGAGAGGGTGATGGTGATGGTGGTGGTGGGGGTGGATGGGTGAGGGTGAGGGGGGGAAATGGAGCCGCTGCTCCTTCTCGGCTTTGGTCGTCCGCTTGCTGGCCACGTGGCCATCGTGCATGCCATCGAGAACAGGGCTGTATCACGGCGATGCTCCTCGATTCTCCTACGCTCCATGACCATCCAGGTCATTCTTCCCCCTCCGATCACCTCCCTCCCCCCCCCCTCCCCTCCCCCCTCCCCTCCCCCCTCCCCCCCCCCCGCTTTGGTCCCCCAACGGCTCCTGTCGACCACCGCCGCCGCGTCCTCGTCCCCGCCCGTCCAGCCAGCCACACGTACCCACTCCTCGCGACGATGACAACCCTGCGGAGCGTGGTGGAGGAGACCGTGCCAGAGCTGTTCCCGGCACTGGTCAAGCATGTCTCGCATCCGTATGCCCTGGCCATGGCCCTCGACGACCTGCTCCCGGGCCCGCCGTTGCCGCCGCCCGACGCGCCTCCGCTGGCGGATGCCGTGCCGACGCTGACGCTGACAGAGGGCACCCGGGCCCTGTTCTACTCGCTGAGCAAGTCGTACCCGGGGCTATTTGGCCCGTCGTCACAGACCGCCAATCTTGAGCTCGCACTCAGCTCCATGCTGCTCTCGTCGTCGGCCGAGGCCCGCTCGACCGCAGCCTCGCCGAGCAGCAACGCCGACGAGGTCGACGCTGCACTTGCCTCGCTGCTGAGCCCGACGCCTGCGGCGCGGCCGGGCTCGGACGGAGCTGGTCCCGATAATGCTGACAGCCCAAGTCGCAGCGCCGACGCCGGTGCGGCGCGGCACATGGATCCGCTGGTCAACACTCTTGTTGAGCACCTGGCGCAGTTGCCGCTCGAATCGTATCTGGTGGCGCAGGACGCGGTCGGCTTCCTGTATCTGCTGTTCGAAGCGCAAGTGAGTAAGGCGAGCGGAGGGCTTGGGGCTGATGGCGAGGCGCACACCGAACTCGCTAGCAACATTGCCGATCGGGTGGCCGATGCGATCCCGTCGATTTCGGCGTCGTTGTTGGCGGTGCTTATCCGCAACTACTTGCGTATTTTTGGACGAACGCTTGGCCTTTCGTCCGTGCCTGCCATCTACACACTTATTCCGTCGCATGGCGAGCTTGCGGAGCTTCGGGCTGCGTTGGCGGCGATGTCGTCTGCGGGCGAGGATCTGACGCTTGAGGCTGCCAACGACGCGCTGGAGACGCAGCGGCTTCGTGACCAGCTAGCATCGCTGTCTGGGACGGAGGCGCCAGCCGCCACGACTGAGGCTACAGAGACGTCTGAGACGTCGATCCGGCTGATGCGGACGAATAAGGAGCTGCGGGCGAAGCTTCGCGAGGCCAAGGCAGACGCCAGCAACGAGCTCGCACAGGTCCAGGCTGAGCTCCGCGACTCGGTGCTGCGGGCAGACAACCTGGCGTACGATGTGGAGCGGCTGCAGAAGGCGCTCGATGAGCGTGTGGCCAAGGACGCGTCGCTGGAGAGCTCGCTGACCAAGCTGCAGTCCAAGGTTGCCGACCATGCGCTCGAGTCGGAACAGTTTGCGCTCGAGCGGGCTGAGCTCGAGTCGCGTGTCCGATCTCAGGCGATGGAGCTCGAGGCTCTGCGGGCGCGGGGGTGGCTGGCAACGACGACGGTGGAGATGACAGCAGCGTGGCAACGGGTCGGTCGCTGGAGACGGCATCGCCGATGGCATCGCCGCGAGTGGCGAGCACGGTGGCAGATCTTGCCGATGCGCGTGATGAGATTACGCGGCTGGAGCGGGTGATCCGAACGTCGGCGGCGACACACGCCGAGGCGCTGGACGCGTTGCAGCACGAGCTCAACGAGGCCCGGGCTGAGAATGAGCACCTGTACAAGGAGCAGGCGGCCCACGTGCGCGAGCACGCAAGCCTGCTGCGTGAGCTCGAGTCTGCACGCGACTCGGCCGACGATGTGCAGGTTGAGCGGCGGCGACTCAACGCCGTCATTGTCTCGCTCAACTCGGAGCTGAAGCATACCAAGGCTGCGGCAGAGCAGGCCCTCGAGCTGGAGAAGGAGGCGGCAGCGAACCGGGTGTTCAAGCTGGAGCGTGCCCTCACACGTGCGCAGGCGCTGGCTGACTCTGTCATCGACGCGTCTGGCGGTGATGGGCGGGGAGCAAACGGGAGCGCGGCGCTCGCCGACGCCATGCGCGAGTGGAACGAGGAGCGCAACGACTTGCTCGACCACGTGGCGCAGCTGCAGTCGAAGATTGCACGGGCGACCGACGAAAAGGCGGAGCTTGTGGCCGAGTTTGAGGAGACGCTGCGCAAGACACGTGAGGTGTACGCGTCCGAGTCCAACCGCAAGACTGCCGACGGCGAGGCGGCGCTGGAGCGCGCGCGTGCGGCAGCAGTCAAGGCGGCGCGCGAGGCCGATGCAGAAAAGGCCGAGCTGCTGGACCAGATCGACGAGCTGCAGGCGCGTAACGCGACGCTGGCACAGCGGTGCGACACTTCGCTCGGGCACAACGAGTCTGTGCAGCTGCAGCGGCGCAAGTGGATGGACGAAAAGGCGCGGTTCCTCCGCGACGCGGAAAAGTGGCAGGTCGAGCGGTCTGCGCTCATTGCAGCCAAGACCAAGGTGCTGATGGAGCACAACGAAGAGATCAAGGTGATGCGTTGCATGTGGGATGAGGAGAAGGCATCGCAGCAGGCGCTGCTGGATGCCGCGCACGCCAAGACCAAGCTGTACAAGGGCGAGGTCGAGGAGCTCAACGCCGAGCTGGAGAAGATCCACGCCAAGCTTGCCGAAGCACAGGCCGAGCTGCGGGCGCAGCGGGCAGAGTTTGAGAGCGCGGTCAGTGTCGAGGCAGCCAAGATTTCGGCCGAAAAGGAGGCCGGGCTGACGCGGGCGCTGGCAGACGCACAAACCATGCACCAGCAGGCGATGAATGTGATCGAGGGGTACAAGAAGCAGATGCGCGAGTCGCAGCTGATTGAGGAGCAGATCGAGAGCGAGCTGGCCGAGGCTGCATCTGCGCGGGCGACCGTGGCCAAGCTGACCGAGGAGAACGCGCGTCTGAAGGAGGAAGTGGTGGCCAAGACGCAGCTCATCGAGGTCTCGTCGATCCACTCGCACCTTGCGGTCATGACCGAGTGTGAGGAGCTGAAGGCGGTCAACGCCAAGCTTGTGGCGCACAACAAGACGCTCGACAAAGGCCTGCGCAACACCAACCTCGCGCAGCAGCGGTTGGCGGCGGCGCTGGCGTCATCGAACGCCAAGGTCGAGACGTGGAAGCGCAAGGCGCTGAACCTCCGCGACAAGCTCGACCGGATGGAGCGGCTCGGCGGTTCGCGCCTGGGCAACGAGCGACGAAGCAATGCTGCGGCATCGTCATCGTTCATGGTTGCCGCTGCTGCGTCGATGCGTAACGCCGGATCGACACCGCAGCTGCGGCGTTGAGCCTTCTTGCGTCCTGCTGCCGATGTGCTGGATACAGAATGAAATGGCCGGGCTGGCGGTTGCAGGCAGAGTGCCCGAGTTCGGCCGTTGTTCAGTGTTTGGCGGGGAGGAGGCGGCCGCCACGCCAGATGAGCCACCCACCCCTTTCCCCACCCCTTTACGCACACTCGTCTTGGCGCTGGTGTAGCGCGAGGCGACTGAGCGCAGCGGGGCGGTTGAGCCAGGCAAGGCAAGGCGAGGCGAGCCGAGGGGGGCACAAGCCGGCGAGAAGGCGAGCAGAGAGCAGGTGGCGGGCGTGGGCGGCGGGTCGAGGGCGGCATGAAGAAGACGGTGACGGTGCGGCGCAAGTCGCGGCGCAAGCGCAAACGGGTGCCTCGACCGCATAGCGCTACGGCGAGCGGCGGTAGCAGTTGCGGTAGCAGTAGCAGTACCAGTAGTAGTAGCAGCAGCAGCCGTCGCGATGGCGATGATGGTCGGGACCGTGGCGGCCGACGACGGGGGGCGCGGGCGAGAGGCAAGGGCAAGGACAGGGAGGAGGGGAAGGACAAGGGGCAGAGCAGCAAGGGCAGATCATCAGCCAAGGACCGTCAGGGCAAGTCGTCGGCCAAGGACCGTAAGGACAAGTCGTCGGCCAAGAGCCGCAAGGGCAAGTCGTCGGCCAAGAGCCGCAAGGGCAAGTCGTCGGCCAAGAGCCGCAAGGGCAAGTCGTCGGCCAAGAGCCGTAAGGGCAAGTCGTCGGCCGAGGACCGAAAGGGCAAGTCGTCGGCCAAGGACCGTAGGGGCAAGTCGTCGGCCAAGGACCGAAAGGGCAAGTCGTCGGCCAAGAGCCGCAAGGGCAAGTCGCCGGCCAAGGGCGGTGGGTCGTCGTCGCCAACCTCGCCCTCCTCCACCTCCTCCACCTCTACAACCTCCAGGGACAAGGATAAGACCAAAGCCAAGAGAGGACGCAAGGCCAAGTCGCGTGGGAAGCGCGCATCGTACTTGAGGCCGTCAATGTCGCGCTCACGAATGGGTTCGACGGTGCGGGCGTGGGCTGTGCCGTCCAAGTCCAAGCTACGCCTACTGGCGGATGAGGGCAAGATCGGGGCCAGCGAGCTGAAGAAGCTGGCCAAGCGGCTGCGCGGGAAGCGCACCATCTCGCTGGGCAAGTTTATGGCGGCAGCGTTGGCAAGCGGTATTGTGTCGCGGCGACGGCGGCTTGGCCTGTGGGCCATGCTCGCCACTTCGGCCAACAAGCTCAACGTGCACGAGCTGGATTTGTACGTGGCGTTGATGACCGGGACGTCAGCGGCGACGATGCTTGCGGGTTGGGCGCGTGTCTTCGACCGCGGCTCGCGCGGACTCGATGCCGCCGCAGTGCGGAACATGTTTGTGGCGGCGGCGGTGACCAAGACTCGTTGCGACTTTGCCTTGCCCGGCATCCACAAGGCGACCAAGTCGACGCCGCTGCGGTTTGCTTATTCGAACGATGATGCACAGCCTTTCTTGGCGGCGGCAGACGCGTTCTTTGCACGCGCGGTCCGCAAGACTGCATCGAGCAAGTATATCACCGCCGACGAGTTTGCTCGGATGCGCAAGGCCAAGGAGCTTGGGCCGATTGTGGCGTACTTTACCTCGGTTGCGCGGGCGCTGCCGAGTTCGCGCGGTGCAACGTCATCCGATTCGGGTTCGGGTAGCTCGGGCAGCTCGGATAGCTCGTCGGCGTACTCGTCGGCACCGTCGTACTCGTCGGGGCGGGGCCTGCAAACCTCGGTGTTTGTTGACGAGGTGAAGCGGCCACGTGGGGCGCGGTACCGGCGCGACCACAACGATACCGGGCGGGCGGACACGCGGTCGCACATTCGATCACGGGCGCGCGAGTACCTCTCTGGCGCGTCGATGGGCGGCTCGGGCTCGTCGAGCAAGCGGGCGTCGAGCTCGCGCAAGGCATCGGCGCGTGTCCGGCGTGACGAGCTCGACGACGCTGACGTTTTTCACCTCGGCCATTGGGCGGATCTGTACTCGGAGCTGTGACTGTGGCGGAGCTGCGGGGGGAGAGTAAAGGTCGAGGATGGTACATTTAATACGGATCAGCGTGAATCGCGTCAAGCGCGCGCCTACCGGCGGTTGGCAGCCTTCTTCTTGGTCCGGGCAGCCTTGTTGGCCTTGGTCTTGGCCGAGGCCTTGGACGTCTTCTTGGTCGACTTGGCCTTGACGCCCTTGCGGGCACCCTTCTTGGCGGCGGCCTTCTTGGTCGTCTTCTTGGTGGCGGCCTTCTTGGTGGCGGTCTTCTTGGTCGTCTTCTTGGTGGCGGCCTTCTTGGTCGACTTCTTGGTCGACTTCTTGGTCGTCTTCTTGGTTGTCTTCTTGGTCGTCTTCTTGGTGGCGGCCTTCTTGGTCGGCTTCTTGGCAGCAGCCTTCTGCACACAGTGCAGCCGGCGTAAGCAACTCTGGTGTGAGTTGTGCGCTGCGCGGAGGTGCAGAGTGCCGGGTGCAGGGAGGGGACCGACGGCGCGGAAAAAGTGGCGCCAAAAAGATGCGACGCCACCAACTGCCAGGCGGGGGTGGGTGCGGGCAAGACGGGGGGTGGGGAGGTGGCAGCTTGCGGGAGGGGAGAAGATACGTACGGCCGCCTTGGCGAGAGCCTTCTTGGTCTCGGGCGCGAGCTTGAAGGAGGCGCGGTACTGGACGAGGGTGCCCTTCTCCAGCTCGCGACGGAGGGTCTTGCGGAGGTAGAGGGCGAGCTTGTCGTCGGAGACCTTGTAGTTGGCCTGGATCCACTTGCCGATGGCGTGCTGCGACGAACCAGTGCGGTCCGCCATGTCGGCAACAGCCTCGAAGATCATGTCCGCATACCGCGGGAGCTTGACGGGTGCCTTTGACTTGGCCATAGTGGTGCTTACGAGGAGTGTGTTCCCAGCCCGTCACCGCCAAATCTACCTTGTTGGCCGCCCCCAAAAAAACGTCGCCTCGCCGCCCGTCGACCGTCACACGCTCGCCAGTGTGCACCACCCGCTGCGCATCCTCGTGTCGTTCCAGTTCCAGCCAATCCGCGCTTGGCGGGCCAAGTGGAAAGCGGTTGTCACCGCATGGCGCGCAGGTTGCGGCGTCGATGCCGGGCGTGCCTGGCGCCCAGAGCCGCGAAAGGCGCGACGTGCCGGTAGAATCAAGGTGTCGCTCGTACCCCGACCCTTCGTCCAGCATCGATTGCCATCGCGGCGCAAGTTATGTCCACACAAGCGCGGCTTGCCCCGATGGTGATATGTGTGTGGTACTGGTGGTTGCGGGGTGTGTGTAGGCTGCTTGGATGAGGTAGATCAAGCGGATGGTGGCGGCGCGCAGTGTGTACGTACACGCACCTAATTGCTCGTACACGACCTCGATACTGTACGTACACCACCAAATTTGTACGTACAGGGTGATCAGACAGGCGCGGGCATAAAAGCAGCGCATGTTTCGCGGAGGAGATGGACGTCTGCATAGGCATCCCAACCAAACACTTCAACATGGCTCGTACCAAGCAGACCGCCCGCAAGTCCGCCACCGGTGCCAAGGCACCGCGCAAGTCGCTCGCCACGAAGGCCGCGCGCAAGTCGGCGCCGGCCACCGGCGGCGTCAAGAAGGCCCACCGCTACCGCCCGGGTACCGTCGCTCTCCGTGAGATCCGCAAGTACCAGAAGTCGACTGAGCTCCTCATCCGCCGCCTTCCGTTCCAGCGCCTCGTCCGTGAGCTCGCCCAGGAGTTCAAGGCTGACCTCCGCTTCCAGTCGTCGGCTATCGCCGCCCTCCAGGAGGCCACCGAGGCCTACCTCGTCTCGATCTTCGAGGACACCAACCTGTGCGCCATCCACGCCAAGCGTGTGACCATCATGGTCAAGGACCTCTCGCTCTCGCGCCGCATCCGTGGCGAGCGCGCCTAAGCGTCTCTTTGCTGTCTTGGCTCGCCAAGATGGCATCCACCGCAACTACAACCTGGTTCTTTTTAGAACCACCCCCGTCTGGCAATGGGAAACAGAATGAACGCAACCACTACCGCAGCCACCATCATGCGACCACTGCCCCGTGACAGCCCACCTACTATGCTTGTTCACACACACACGCGCGCGCGGGTGTGTGTGTGTGTGTGTGTCTGTGTGTGTGTTCAGCCCCGAATCCGAAACTGCTACATCTCTTGGTCTTGAGTGTATTACCTCACTTGCGCGCCACGGTGCGGACAACCTGGGCCGACTTGACGACGGCCCACGTCAGGCGCTTCATGTAAAAGGTGCCAGCGCCGACGAGGCCGAGGAAGACAAGGGCGGTGAGACCGGCAAGGCGGCGCTCCTCGAGCTCGGGCTCGGCGACCCAGGCGAGGAACATGGTGACGTCCTTGGCAGCCTGCGAGGCCGTACCCGGGGTGCCATCCTCAAACTCGACCAGGCCGTCCTCGAGGGCCTTGGCCATGCCGATGGCGCCGCCGGGGAAGTACGGGTTGTAGTGGAGGCCGTCGCGGAGCTCGACGCCCGCCGGCGGGTCCTCCGGGTAGCCGGTGAGGAGCGCAAAGACGTAGTTGGCGCCGTCGTGGCGGGCCTTGACAATGAGCGAAAGGTCCGGCGGGAGCGCGCCGTTGTTGGCCTTGCGCGCAATCTCCTCGTTCGCGTACGGCCGCGGGAAGTAGTCCGAGAGCTTGCCGGGGCGCATGAACATCTCGCCCTCGTCGTTGGGCCCGTCCTCGACCTCGATCTCCGCCGCCAGAGCCTTAGCCTCCTCCTCGGTGTATGCCACGCCGACAAGGTTGCGGTACGCCAGCCGGTCGAGCGAGTGGCACGTCGCGCACACCTCCTTGAACACCTGGTGCCCGCGCCGGATCGACGCGTGGTCGTACGTGTCGGTCCATCCGGTGTGGTCCCACGGGTACGACGGCGGGTGAAGCGCGTCGGACGCGTACACAGCCCCAGCCCCAGACTCGGTTGCGTAGTAGAAGCCCACGCCAGCAGTCACCACGCCCGCAAGTCCGAGCGCGTCCTTGACCCACGACGCCTTCTTCCCGGCGCCCGCAGCCGCCGTCGTCGACGCCGCACGCGCCATCGCCCGGGTGCTCTGCACCGCAGAGCGCACAATACCACTACGCGCAAACATCGGTCCTTCCGACCTGTCCACAAAAACACGCCCACCCGCACACATACGTCAGTCTCTCCGCCCACAGCTGGCCCTTGGGCCGCTCGCCCGCCGTCTCGTCTGCTCACGACGCGTCGCCAAAAAATTCCCCCCTCCCCGCCGTCCTCGCCCTTCTCCCCGCCTGCTCTCCACGCTCCGCCTCAGCCGCCACCGCACCACACCAATGTCCACACCGCTACGTTCTATTGGAACTCCATCTCTCCTGGCCGTCCAGCGCCCCCTCCTCTAACCCTCGCCCGCTTCCCAGCGCCTCGCCCGCCCACCAGCCCTCGACTGCGAGGGGATGCCCGCACCGCCACACACAACGCCCTGCACACGGCGACAGCTCGCTCCTGCACCCGCCTTTGCCACCGCAAGCCATACTCGTTGTCGTCCTCTTCTATAGCTGTAACGTACCAGTTGGCAAGAGACGAGTGTGCTCACCGCTTGTTGTGGGAAGGCCAAACCTGCGTACCTTCCTCACTCCCGCTGCCGCCGCCCGACCATGGCCCGACAGCCGGCGGTCGGCCAACCGGCCGGCAATTTGGCACTCGGCCCCAACCGCAGCCGCCAGCCACCAGCCACCAGCCATCAGCCGCCTGTCGTTCACTTCCTTTTTTTTTCCATTGACTTTGCTGCTCTGTGCAAGCCACGTCCAATCAACACCCCTTCCGCACGGCGTCCACCACCACATCCGTAGCCCCACGTCCACACTCGCCATTCCTCTCCCGCCGTCATCCTCTCCATCCTCTCCATCCTCTCCACGCGCTAGCCATGTGGGCCTCACGCCTACTGTGCCTTGCTCTGGCCGTCCTTGCGCTCGCCTCGTCGGCACGGGCTGTGCGTACGTGCCGCCTGCTCTTCCCTTGTTCTGCCTCGACGCCTCTCCCGCTTTCCCTTCCCTTCCCTCCGCTTCTTCCCTTGCCGTCCCCCCTCCCTCCCTCCCTCCCCCCC